GTAAAAATTACGGTTCAAAAGTTATTGTACTAAGTTAACTTATGTTATTTTCCCATAAAAAACCATAAAATAAAAAATATGATTTTTTTATAAAAGCTGGTTTTGATCCAAATTAATATGTTATGGTCCTTATAATTTGTAAAAAGATGAAGATATTAAACAGAAAGAAATTGATGATGAACCTTTATTTGGAATGAAAAACACTGAACTGAAATGTTTACAAATATTGTAAACGAACATATGTTAAATAAAATTCTTTTAACATTCTCCCACAAAAAAAAAAAAAAATATCAGCTTGCAGATGATATTGGACAACATTTGGAAGTGATGAATGGTCCAGCTTTGTCAACTTCAGAGTGTAGAGATGGACGTGATAGGGTGATTCTTGATGAAAGTTGTTGTCCCATTAGTGGTTTATATGGTCCACATCTATATCCAGACCAGGTAACATAGCTTGATAATTCTTTCTTTGCAGTTTGACGCCTTTCAATAACCTGAAAACATCGTCTCATTGTGGGTTCACGGTTGGTAGCTTTACGGTGAAATTGGTGAATGTGAGCATCATTAGATCCATATTTAATTCGATCTTCAATGTTTTCATCCCGCTCGCTTATAGTGATAGGTATTAACCATTTGTTTGGATGGTTGAGTTTCCACTAGGCCCAGAAATAATCCAACCAAATATGGTAGATTGTTCAATTGGAGTCGATGGATGCCCTTTTACAAGGCCAGGGAAAATAATTGCACCGAAGGTGAATGCTCCAATAATAACATCAATTGTTACTAGATTCATGTACTGAGGATCAGCGAGTTATAGACCATGAAGATGAGGCCAATTCTGTTTGGGAACTTTTATTGATGGCATGATAGATGTAAGCTTTGACAAGATGTATGGTTTAGTAGAACAACTTGCATCGGGATTAAAGGTTGAGCTAAGAGTAATGTTAACTCTTCCTCGAGTGGTGGAACTGTGAGTCCCACCTATTCCAACTAAAGGAACAGATGCTGATTGTTGTTTGTTGTTGTTGCAGGTGATTGTTTAACCCTTTCAGTGCTATGAAACGATATATCGTTGTTTTAAAAAATCTCTAAGGGATAAAGAGAGGAAGGTTATTTTAACAAAAAGTAGCAAAACGGCCATTGTTCATAGGATACACTAACAACCACTTAGCTAAAAGATTTGCCCAATCCGATGATTTCGAGGTATATGTCTAAACCAAGGATTATGAACACCTCACTATGCCCCAGTGGTAGTATATAACTACAAACACACAGGTCACCAATTATTTGCCACACAGGACGGGATTCGAACCCGAGCAGACGAATGCCAGCTGGCCAAGTGACACATACCCTAGCCTTCTCGGCTATCTGTGCTTGAAGACTGAGGAGTCAAAAACCGGTATTTAAGCTGACGCCACCGATTGCGAACAGATAGCGCTACAGATGGTTGTTCAATGCGTTACTAGGTAGCAGCACCAGTTAGTCACGGACTATTTAGATGATATTTTTTAGTTGAAAGACAACAGTGATCATAAACGTGTTCCTGAGACTTTGATGCAAAACATTAGTTTCCCTAAAATTGCTATATTACGATAACCTCGTCCAACTAAATCAAAGTTAAATTCAATATTACATTGTAAACTATATGTCTTTTGATTTTATGAGATTTTGGTTTCAAACAATGCTATCAGAACATTAAAATGTATAGGAAAACCAAGAAAATTAAAACAAAAAATAATTTTTATTTAAGTTCTAGGGCTTAAACGATCTGTTCACTCTGATAAATGATAATTCAGAGCCTTGGTCGATTAAGGCTCTAGCTGTGACAGTGTTCCCCATATGACCAATCACATTGACCTGAGCTGTTGCCAAAAACATGACAGATTAATCTCGGTCTAGGTTTGATGAAGCATAATTATTAATGGATTTGTTGGATTTGCTAGAACTTTTACTTTCAGATTCAATTTGATTTAGATTTTGAGATGACTGATTTGATGAAAGAGATTTTGTTGCAGGTACAAAATGAATCATTGTATGATGACATTTGTTGTAGTTTAGACAACATTTTTCCGATTAACAATTTTTCAAGAGATGTGGTCCAATACAATTAAAACACAACTGCCTTGATTGTAAAAACTCTTTTCTGCAAAGTGGAGTTTTATGATAAAATAATTGACACTTACACAGATGCTGTGTTGGACTGAGACTACTTGCTGATTTCTGGATACTACGTCCTTCTATGTTCTCCAATGCTCGAGCTCGTTCTTCGACAAAGTCGAGTAGATCTTTGAGTGATGATGGGCTTACCGAGGCTCCTTGTTTTAATTCCCAAGATTCATGAGTGTCTTGATCCAGCCAATTTACTATGAGGTAGACAATGATGTGGTCTCAATGTTCTGTTGGACATCCAAGGGCTTTGAGTAAGCTCAGAGACTCGTTTACTGTAGACAGTAGGCTTGTAAGGTGTTAATTCCGAGGGGGGGTAAAACTACACCTTATATGCCTCGGATCTGCTAAGTGTCAGGTGTGTCCAGGGTTCAAGTTATATTATTAATTGGCTGGGCTCAGACCATAGGATGTTATCATTTATTCAATAAATCATTGGTCATCATCATTGCCCAAATTAAAGCCAATTAATCCCCGAACGTGTTTTTATTATCATTGATGTTAAGTTAAAAAAGGTTAATAAAACGTCACAAAAAGAGAGAACCGTAGGTTAGCCGTGAACCAACACTACCGCTAGTGCGTGACCTACGCTCACCAAAATAAAATTACTTCTAAAAAGGTTACTTCACCTTTTAACGAAAACTAATAAAATCAAAAATAAGAATAACTAACGAAAATTATTGTCACGACTAACAACTACGTTCTAGGTTCCCTGAGTTGTTTCACCCGGGTGTGACGTGGGGAATATCTCAGGTTTAAATCAATTTTAAGTGAATAATCTAAATAGACGGGTATTAATTTAACGACCACACGACGGGACAGATCACGACAAGGCTGTTGCGCCCATCACCTAATAAGAATCTTAATTTGTAATAAGTAGGTAGTGATGTTAAGCTGAGCTTTTTCGCCCGCCCCTAACAATATATTTAGTAAAAATATATATATCGTGTGAAAGTCGTGGGAACTAGGATTTAATTTCGTTGACAAGGCTATTCCGCCCGTCACCTAACAATTCAATTTAATACAAAAATAAAATATGTTCTATAACCACTATAATTTATGGTTATGAGTGGCAAGGGCAGAGCTAAGCTACTATCGATGGACGTGAGCTGTTTCGCCCGTCCCCTAACAATATAATTTTAATACCAATACTGTAGTAGACCCCTATTAGTCTACACTAAGAAATAATTATTGAAGCTCAAGCCACAACTAGCAATACTATACTGAGTAGTCCTGTTAAGGGTTTAACCTATTTAGATTGAACTATCGTAGCCAGCCTAAAATTTCCACCAAAAAGGAATAACAAAAGCTGCTACAATAATAATATTAAATTTAGAAAAATTAATACCGGAGTACTTACGGTTTAATATCCGGAATAGGGACGACGACTATGTTACCTTTACTATACCACTCTGTGGGTTAGACCAACGTGGGTTCCTTAGTTCAGAGGGAGTAGAGGAGAGAAGTGACCAGCTACACGCCGGCCGATCGAGTGTCGGTTGATCCTAGGTCCTGGAAAACTCTCGCCCTACCCCTACCACTACGTCCTTAAGACGCTACTAGCGCGGCGGGTGGACACTGCCGGTAACATTTCCCGCTCTGATTTAAAATTTAATCGAGGTCCAATTTGGGACCTTACAGGCTGCTCAAACTTTTCGCACATTTTGACTCTAATGGCTTAAACTTGAAGATCGCATCCGAATGTTTGGTGATAAGAATGCGTTTGTTTTCGTAACGCCCAACAAGTTTGTTCCAAGCAAGTTCAAAATTTTCTGTTGATATGGTTGGATTTGAAATTAGCTGCACAGCTTCTCCTGTCAAACAACTTTTCAGGTAATGCATTTTTGCAACATTTGTTAAATCGGGATTTGAGTTCACTAAGGACATGAAAATATCACTGAAAGATTTCCACGATTCATAGTCCCCAGAAAATTGAACCAAAGGTATTTTAGGAAGGATTGGTTTTGGATTTGGTCCTATTCGATTTGCAGCCTTGCTTTCTTCTTGTAGGCTCTCTAAATGGTTAATCATTGCTGATTTACTCACCATGTAAGCTTCTTGTCCAATACTATAATGGTCTTCAATTATGTATATGATGTCCTGCAGAACTTCTGGTTTTGACTCACATATCCTTTCATGATCACGTTCAAATTTCATCCATGTTGATTCCAAAACTTCCAGTCTTGTCTTAACTTCTGATTTGTTCAATGATGTGGAATCTGCATTTTGATTTTGAAAAGGTTTGAGGTGATTTTGCATTAAGATAATTCGTGATTCTTGTAAATTCAGTTTTGATTCCAGAGATGAAATGTCGATTTTCCAGGATAAAGATGTAAGATAAAAGGTTTGATGATAATTTTCTTGGTCTTAAAGTTGATGAATAACAAAAATATGATTGATAACTAGTTATGATCCGGCTCGTAATCGGACCAAATGTAAAAAGATGAAGATATTAAACAGAAAGAAATTGATGATGAACCTTTATTTGGAATGAAAAACAGTGAACTGAGATGTTTACAAATATTGTAAACGAACATATGTTAAATAAAATTCTTTTAACATAATTCTAAAAAAATAGTACAACACCCCATTGCTGTAACAATTATGGTTCAAAAGTTATTGCAACTTTTGTGATTTTTAACTGTAAAATATCATATTTACTCTCACCGCTTACACATGATAAAGGTTGTTGTCAAGCTTATGGGAGAAAGTATTTGTCAGAATGCTGATATTTATTTACATTATTTTCAAGATCACTTTACTCAAACTACAATTTTAGTAGTCTCCGATATTACATATATATCCATAAACAATTTTATCATAATATGTTTCAGTGGGACCTGATTGTGAATTGGTGGTTTCTCCCATTAGTCATTGTCCGATTCGAGGAGAAGTGAATGTGTTGCGATTTTTACATCGATCGATCAACGGCTCAGGAGACCCTATATCTGACACTCAGTTAGATCATATTCTGGACGTGTGTCATAGACTGGTAAGAAGTACGAGTTTGATCATATAATTTGATAATCAAGAATAAGACAAAAAATTTTAACAAGTAAAGATAAGTCTCAACTTGTTACTAGTGATGGTCGGTACTTTATGTCAAATGTCGGTACCACCAGTTCTTAGGAAAAGAACCGGAACCGAGAATTTTGTGAAATGTCGGTAGCAAGCTACCAACTAGGTTATATTTTTGTGAATTTACCCTAGGGAATAAGCTATTACCGTAGGTCTCATGGTAAGACCTGGACCCAGGACCGATTTACTTTTTTGTTTAGAGGTCCCAAAACCATCGTCCGTTCAAATTCATATGTATATATGTGTGTGCCCGTTAGCACGATAACTCAAGCAAAAATGATCCGATTTTGATGAAATTAGGTATAAATGTGTAAACTTACATTTATTCGAACGAGTTTGCGAACCAGCATGATCGGACCATGGAAACAGGGGTTTACAAGGGGTTTTATGGGGTAAAAATGGTTTTTTTCAGATTTTTGACCCTAAAAACATAAAATTTTTAAATTTCTTTCTAAATTATTTTGTAAAACTTAAAAAGGGAAATAATTTAGTATGATGACATGCTGTTGTATGTCTAATAATAACGGTTACAGAGAAAATTAAAAAAAGTGTAAATTTAAAATTCCCATGTTAGGCTAGGGCCACACTTAGCGACTTTGTCGCGGCGTCAGTGAATGAAAGTGTGTGGCATTAAATTAAACGGGGGCGGCCACACTAAGCGACTCGCGGCCAGCAACCACCGGCGACAGAAAAATAAACGCGACCGGGAGCGTTTTTCGGTCGCGGCGACAAATAAGCTCCCCATGTTCTCTTATGGCACCGGCCATACTAGGCGACAAGTCGCTCCCTCACACCCCCTTTGCTGCTCTATTTTCATATCTACTGTATATTTTTTAGTTTTGAACTGGCAATTGTTAAATATGGAAAATATGCTTTTAAAATACAAATATTTTCATCGATAAAATAAGTGTCTACATGTGTCAACATGTGTCCTGTAGCATATATGAGATTTAACTCTTCTGGTATAACAGGAATCCAAAACCTCGTGTATTTTTCAAATGTCGTGCGTCGTCTTCTGTCATTAGCTCGCCAAAGCTATGCTCATCAAAAATACTACAAAAAAGTTACAATATTAAAATACGCCATCCATAAACAATGTTCTTTCAGAGAATTCACTCCATACCTGTGGTTTTTCTCTTCCTTTTCGCAAATTTTCCATATAGGGAATAAGCTATTACCATAAATAAAACATAGTCCCTTAGTAGATTTCCCATCCTTATGGAACAGATGAAGCCAATTTTATTGTTAGTTCTGTCTGGTTTTCTGTAGATGTCGTGTTTTGTTTACAATTTGTTTCTTGTTATTTTAGTAATTTAAAACTAGGGATGGACGGGATTGAATTTTTAGTTCGGGACGGGACGGGACGGGATTTTTATTTCCTTCCCAATTTTCGGGACGGGACGAGACGGGATTTTTTTCTGTGCATGAAAAGAAAGTACTGTATTGCAGTTACCAAAAAGACATACGAAATCAATTTTTACCATTTGTGGCACTGATCTATAAAAACAAAAAAAATGGGTAACAATTTACAGGTACCTATAGTAACTTGTGACTCGCGGATCACGGGGTGATCGTCTGTATGACTCACAGTCACGGCGCGATCGTCGTCATGACTCGCGATCACGGCGCGATCGTCGGTATGACTCGCGGTCACGGCGCGATCGTCGGTATGACTCCGCGGTCACTGGGTTATCGTCGGTATGACTCGCGGTCACGGGGTTATCGTCGGTATGACTCGCGGTCACGGGGTTATCGTCGGTATGACTCCGCGGTCACGGGGTTATCGTCGGTATGACTCGCGGTCACGGCATGATCGTTGGTATGACTCGCGATCACGGCTCGATCGTCAGCCTGACTCCGCGGTCACGGCGCGATCGTCGTCATGACTCGCGGTTACGGCGCGATCGTCGTCATGACTCGCGGTCACGGCGCGATTGTCGTCATGACTCGCGGTCACGGCGCGATCGTCGGTATGACTCGCGGTCACGGCAAGATCGTCGTCATGACTCGCGGTCACGGCGCGATCGTCGGTAGGACTCCGCGGTCACGGGGTTATCGTCGGTATGACTCGCGGTCACGGCATGATCGTTGGTATGACTCGCGATCACGGCTCGATCGTCAGCCTGACTCCGCGGTCACGGTGCGATCGTCGTCATGACTCGCGGTTACGGCGCGATCGTCGTCATGACTCGCGGTCACAGCGCGATTGTCGTCATGACTCGCGGTCACGGCGCGATCGTCGGTATGACTCCGTGGTCACGGCGCGATCGTCGGTATGACTCCGTGGTCACGGCGCGATCGTCGGTAGGACTCCGCGGTCACGGTGCGATCGTCGGTATGACTCCGTGGTCACGGCGCGATCGTCGGTATGACTCGCGGTCACGGCAAGATCGTCGGTATGACTCGCGATCACGGCGCGATCGTCGGTAGGACTCCGCGGTCACGGTGCGATCGTCGGTATGACTCCGTGGTCACGGCGCGATCGTCGGTATGACTCGCGGTCACGGCAAGATCGTCGGTATGACTCGCGATCACGGCTCGATCGTCGGTATGACTCGCGGTCACGGCGCGATCGTCGGTATGACTCGCGGTCACGGCACGATCGTCGGTATGGCTCCGCGGTCACGGGGTTATCGTCGGTATGACTCGCGGTCACGGCGCGATCGTCGGTATGACTCGCGGTCACGGCGCGATCGTCGGTAGGACTCCGCGGTCACGGCGCGATCGTCGGTATGACTTCGTCTCCTGCGTTCGCGGACCTATCGCTCGCAATAACGGCGTTATTGGCACTCGCGAAGCGGAAAAATCGCCGACGATCGGACCAAATCCCGTCCCGAAAAATTCCCGAGTCAAATGTAATCCCGTCCCGATAATTGGGAATATTTTTTTCCCGAAAAATTCCCGAAATTTCGGGACCCGTCCATCCCTATTTAAAACCTAGTTTAACCAAATAAAACTATCTAATCTTAAACAATAACTCGTCCACTAGCTATATAACCAAACAGCGAGACACAAATAATGAGAAACTAACCCTAAAATAATAGAAACAAATTGTAAACAAAACATGCCATCTACAGAAAACCGGACAGAACTAACAATAAAATTGGCTTCAGCTGTTCCATAAGGATGGACCTTAGGTTGCATAGTAGGACCTAAACACGGGACCGATTTAATTTTTCGTTTTAAGGTCCCCAGAGGCAACTTATGAATCAACTTATGAACTTATCAATCTCCTCTTATATATTCATGAAATCGTTATTACTTTAATGTCGATTTTCACTATAACGAACCCCACTCTCCTTATATTTGTACTTCGCTTGACCAACAACTCAGTTGTAAAAATACTTAACTAACATACTCTCTTACCGCAACTTTAAAATTGATTTTTTTATGAGGTGTTCCTTAAGGTCGAGCTCGAAGTTAGCTTATATAGCTTAATATTGGCGGTTTCACTTCTTGCTTTGTTACAACTTAACTCTAATCTACTAATGACGACTAACAGCTAGCTGGATTAGCTGTATACTAATGACGACTAACAGCTAGGGGGCCTGCCAAAGGCGAGTTTTATGTTTATATAGGTCTTGAGCAAAAATTATGAGATTTTTATGAAATTTAAATTTGGTACAAATTTTTAAACCAACGTTAATTCAAACTAGCTCGCAAGTCAGAATGATCAGACTATGAGAATGGGGGATTAGGGGCTATAATTTTTATAGTGGGCCATAAGCATCCGACAAGAGACCGAAGAGCCGAGAGTACAATCATACAACAAGACGCTGAAGTGTCCAATGCAAACTCACAACCGGATGTCCCTAAAATTCGCCGTTCAATGAGAATCATAAAACCGATTAAAAGGATGAACTTGTAAATGAACATTCTCTTAAATTAGTTGGGAGGAATTGTTATATATTCAAAAAATCTATCTTTTATTTTAATATTGATCATATGACTGGAATAATTTCATATTGTAAATAATTCAATGTTTACCTTTTATTATCCTTATATATAATTCTGTAAGACAACATTTTTACCAGAAAATTGTGGACGTCTGGTAAGTCGCAGAAAAGTGTGAGAGGTCTTAAATTAAAGGTCTTGACCCCAGGGACTCGGGAAAAATAGCAGAATTCCCATAAAGTTACCAGGCAACGAGATATAACGTAAAATATCCACCATAAGAAATGCATGGGGACTGAAAAACGTCTGCATTCAGCTGCATCAGCTGTTACTTATTTATTTGTAATGTTTAAATTTATTCCGAAAAGTCAATGTTGGTAAATAATGTTTCAAAATGAATTGTGTTTGATTTTTTTGATTTCCGTTTTAATAATGAGTGAAGTAACTAGACAGGGTAGGGGAAGACCTGCAAGACGTGGAAGAGTGTCCAGGATTTCAACAGACTTAAGAAATGCAAAAGAGAACGTCATGTAGGGCCTAACTGTGAAAGAAATCCAGAAGCTTTTTTACATCCTGTCTTTAGAAGAACGCTGGAAAATGAGTTGAGTGTTGTTTTTTCACAATCGTAAATGACAAACTAAAAGAACTGTTTTTACATGTTCCGAACTTCATAAAAAACATAAGGCAATACAACATTGCAATGGCTTTTGCGTCGCTTTCCGCTACACAAAAGAGATTCCGGGAAATGGGCCTTACTGTCTTAAACTGACTTACTACCGCAAAATGGGGAGTTGCCTTCATAATAATTAATAATAATTTTAACCTTTACATTTGGTTCTGAAAATGGAAACTATAACAGAATTTGTAAGAGTACAAAACAAATCATCAGTTTTAAACTAGAAAAGATGTGCAATGTTTGGCTGTATGATTTCAGCTATGATTTGTCGTTCTCCGGGCTCAGGCCAAACCGTGTGCACGTTTCCATTTGTAAATATGTTGTGTTATTGATTTAATCATTAT